GGCTTTCAGGGGCTTCCCTCACCACTTTGTCCAGCAGTCAAGGTCAGCTGTGCTTTGCTTTCACACTACATGGGAATCCCTCATTGTCAGAGGCCACATTTTATTTATCTCATTAAATCTTTTCAGAGATCAATTACTTTTGCTGACATAGTCAAAAATGGGATTGTAGCGGTTTCAGGTTTGTTCTGCTGTGTGGAGAAGGGGTTTGTTTTTTGCACACACAAAAAAAAAATCACTAAAAACATCATAAATTTGTACTCATGACCTGCCTCTTGATATTTAATAAGTATCAGACTTGAAGATTCATCTCACAAATATAATTAAAAGTAAACCTGTGTCCAGGTATCAATTTTCAGTCCTCAAAGTGAATTTTCAAAAAGAAACTCACAGCAAATATTTTTATTTAACTCAACAAATATTAAATGTTTACAATTTATTTTTCAATCACTATTTTTAAGGATAAAGAAAACACAAACAAGCAACTTATAGTGCAGGCATATGAGAGAAAAAGCTCACACAAATTACTTTATTATAAAGTCCAAGTACAAAAACTCATACATAAAGTGACATGAGAGAAGTATAAATTGCCAAGCGGTGATGAGGACAGAGGAGCTCAGACATGAAGAGAAATCATACTACAATAAAATTATTAACCAGACTCTGACGTCAGTAAAGGGCATTAACCCATAATGCAAATCGCATTTCTTAAATGTGATTAAGAAAGCTAATTTTTCTTTTGGCAATTCATGGGTGAGACGTCAATGTGATATCAGATTCAAACATAAAATAAAGATCTCTATGTGGAGGATTTTGTCCAATATCCAATTAAAGGATTTATAGTGAAAATTTTAACTGCCAAGGGAACCAGCACTCCAGAGGCCCTTCTTAATATGTAAGGATATTGCTTGGAAATCACGAGATTCTCAGATCAGGGACGTGATTGGGTAAACTTAACAGTTGGTATCATCTGGTTTTAGTTTCCAGAAGGTGCTATCTGACAGAGGTCTGGAAAATTAACAATCCATATCTTTCTACAGCATTTTGTTCCTTGGACTACCTCAAAATTCCCTAAAATTGTAAGATTTAACTCTGCCCCCAAATTTTAATATGGCTGTCTTCTATTTCCTTATGTGAATCATAATAAACAGAACATAGTGACCATATCCACAAAGCTCCGATATTTGAACACTCCAGTTAACTAGATGGATTCTGTTCTGTGACTCGCTAGTGCTGTGACTTTAAACAAATCACTCAACTAAAACCAACCCCCTACCACCAAGCCTCCAATTCCTTATAGACAAAATAAAGTGTGAGTAATAACTACATAATAGTTATTGCCTCAAATGAGATAATGTACATGGAAGCCATTTGTAGAGAGAGAGTAAAGCATTACTCAAATATTCATTCATGCCATCATAGAAACAAAGCATATGATCAGTCACTAAGATCCACTGTGTAGGTTTTGCATAGAGAGTGAAAAATGAGAGATTCCTTCACACAGCCATCCTATACTGCAAACTGAAGGGGACAGGAAGGATAGACAGAAGGAGATACTATGAAATTATATGAACGTAGCCTTCAGACAGGGTTTCAGATGGCTACTGCATGCTCGTGGAACAAAATGGGATTTACTAATACTACCAGTTTGGTTAATACTTAGTGATGGAATGATGAATATATGAATGAAAAGTTATGGAATGCATGGGTCAATGAAGGTATAGCCAGGTGAAATGCTTGAAAACCAAATCAGGAAGAGCCAAGTTGTATAGAAGAAACATGAAAATAATTTTGGAAAAGTGAAGCCATGTAGCTCAAATAAGCTAACAGTAATGGGCTCCACTCACATAAGTTAGAATAGCAAAACAAAGAGCATAAGAAATCTACAGCATACAAAAGAGTCCACGTTTTCATATCAGTTTGTAAATATTAATACTCAAATATAAATACTGATACCCTCTTCTGTTATCTTTTAAAAACAAGGAACCAAACAGTATGCATCCGAAGAGCTATAAAAATATAAACGGAAACCTTATATAATAGGAAACATTTTGAAGTCCACAATATCCTGAAGCTTATAAGGTCTACTCTGAATGATCTGTGATAGCAGAAGTTATAGTACACCGGGACGTAACAGATAGCAAATCTAATGTGCACCTTTATCAAATCTTTATAAGATCAGTCAAAATGTATTAAAACAGAATGAATTAAAAGGGTTTTCTGACTCTTCATTTTCCTAATTGGTATAAGCAATAACAAGAAAAAAAAACATATAATGGTATATCAAAGAGAAAGGACAGAAAAATGAAGAATAGATTTGTGGAAATCACAAAATATAGCAATTTTCACAGAACATAAAATTACGTATTTTGGACGTCCTAATTTAAAGTAAGATTTCAGTGATGTCTGACTCCAAAAACTACTAATGGTAAAAATGATATAATTCTCAGCAAATTAATTACTGCTCTTTAACCCAATATTTTCAAATAAACATGAGATTCTTAATAATTTTCATCTTTTTTTTTTAGGAAGGAATATCGCTTATGTATTTCCTAAATAATTATATCCAACGTAATGACAATATGTAAATCTGATCACCCATGTGTTTAAAAGCCCAGACTCCAGTTAATATCACTTTAAAATGAATAATGTCAAGACAAGTCAAAACCATTCATTACTTTAAGTAGAATGGCAGGGCATGCAAAGCAACATTATTGTAAAAAATAATAACAATTTGTATTTACTGAATTTTACAAAAGGTACCATAAAAGGAAGAACATTCTAATGATAAGAATGTTCCCTTCTGACCTCGCGAACTGTTTTCTATTTACTAACAGTTTGTGGTGGGAGGAGTTGGGCACGTTTTTAAAATTTATTATTTGTAAAAAAAAATTATATTGAAAAAATTGCCTCATTTGGGCTAATGCATAGGACCAGGTTCATTGATAAAAGCACTAAGAAATTGCTGATTATGTATTCCATATGCATCATGAAAATGCTTACTGATTCCATATGAAGTGCTTCCTTACCAAAAGAAGTATTTGATTTAATTGAGAAAATATACTCAGCTCTTTGAGTAAAGACCATGTTGACAGGTTAAAGAATCAGTCACATGATAAATGAAATATAATTCTGGCTACATTTAACCAGTGATTGCAATGACTATGAAATCACTACTCTATTAATCACCATCATAACCACTACTATTTACTGAACTCCTAGTACTTGCCAGGTATTTAATCCTCATAGAGTCTATGAACTAGGCAGCATCCTTGTTAATGCAAAGCAATTGTTTCAAAGCAAGTGACCCCAATGAGCTCACTCAGCTAGAGCAGTCCGGAACTCACAATGCAACAAGCAAGAAGGCCATCTGCATTCAATGCCCAGGTCATGTCCATTCTCAGGAGGCACTTATAAAACAGTCTCTTGAACAAAATTTAAATTAGGTACCACCAATTTAAATGTCACTTAACACTTAGGGTACTTTGGAAATAACTGTAAAAGCCAAACTTGTGTGTAAATGGAAAATCAAATGTGTCAAACAAAGACATTTAAGTTAGTGGTTTGGATTATTAATTTTCATCTTCTAACATCTATTATAGCTATTGAAAAAATTAAGGTCTTGCTTTTCAAACTTATTAAGTGTCTCTCTTCCTAATGGGTTTTTCATCTACCTGCCTTATATCGCTTTAATTATCCAAAACTATTTTCAAACGGCACCATGTGCCCATAACAACGAAAATTATTGGTCACAAATGAACACTGAATCATGAACTTCGCAAAATGAAAAGGGGTCTCTGGAATGTCCACACTTGATAGTTCTACGCTCACTGGATGCTCAAAGGCTACACTAGCAAGTCAAGTTCTTAAGCAGTTCCCTTAAGAGAGATTATTTTAGACAAAGCTTAGGGCAGTTGTTGCCCTGCATAAACTCTACAACACTATCACTGAAAAATCATCTGACATCATCATGTCTTAAGATGTTCACAGGTAAAACAGACACTGTAAGTGGGTTTGGTTTAGAAGCTGTCTTCCCAAATGATTAGATACTTTCCTCTCTTGTTCATTATCATTCATAAGGTTTTTAAATAGCTCTGGTTTATTTGGAGGAAAATTAAGTAACAAGCTGTACAATTTTAGAATCATGAATAACATTTAGAATTTCAGAAATTCAAATCTTGTGACCTAAATTAGGAATACAATTTTTTTCCAATTTTTCTTTACTGTGTAAAGGGTTAATTAAAGCATGAGTTTGCTTGGAATTTTTTTTAAAAAATTACCAAGCCCTAAAATCAGTATCATTTAAATTTCTGATGCCAAAAATCTGTTTGACAGAGCAGGCTTTACTATACTGACATTTTAACAGTAGCCAAAGTCCTGTTCCCACTAAATTCTATCTTGGCAGCACCAATAATTTGCTAAAAGCCTAAACTCCTCCTGGTAACTAATGTGTTCTCAACCTCAGGAGCTTCCCACAGCAGCTCAGTGCATCAAGGAAGCTGAAGCAATCAAGTCCTTCCTTAAGATTTCTATTCTTATTACAGAAACCACGATTTCTATAAAATGAGAATGGTTTAAATATGGAAAGATGCTAATTTACTCCAAATGTTCATTATATCTTAGATATGAATCTGACAAAATACAATAAAATTACTTATTAAAACCTTACTCAAAGTAAAATCTGATATTTTTATATTGCCTCAAGATTATAACAAGCAAATCATCATTAATATATCACATAAAATAATCTGGTTTCAAACTGACAGCATCTGGTTCAAATGACACCACTTTCTAATCTTCAGCTAAAATCAGATATTTCCAAAAATGCAATAAACATATGAATATTTTCATTTAAGTAACATCCAAAATATCTGTCACAGGTTTTGAGAGCCTTAAATAATTACTGTCAAAATTTCACATAAAGCTTATTTAACATTGTGCTTGACGAATCTTTCCAGTAACTTTGAAATCAAACCATACAGAAAGCATTTGGCTTGACTTACCTAGTGGCTGTATGTTAAAGAATTGGTAAAAGAGCATTCCAACCAAATGAATTCACTTAATTTTTCAAGTAGATCTGATTACTATGGTCTTTTAAAAAATTCAAGGGCTCCACCTAATGAGGAAAAAACAAAGAATTGCGTTTAAACCAGAGCATCATTATATAATCTATATATTAATAACACAAAAATCAAATCCAGACTATTATGATATTATGCTATCTTTTCCTAAGTTACTGTGCTACTTAAAACTATAAAACAACAATAGCATCTAGGAATTATGTTAAATTTTCCAGTTTGGGGTAAAATGAATATTTAAGCATACAGAAAACAATAAAAGAATACAACAAAGTGTGAGAGCAGAAGAGTTTGTTTCCAGAACTGACTGGCAGGTGGAAATAATGGCTATATAATGTCAGCTAAGACATTAAAATTAGAGATGAGGGGGAAATGCAATTTATTGCTTTGGAATTATACTCATTGATTCTTCTAATTTTCTATGCAATGAAAATTTGTAGGTGACAGTTCCTGAAAGCCATTAAGCCCTAGCTATATGCAATCTCTGTTGAGAAACAGAAACTAATATCTAGACAGATCATTTAAACATAAAAATGATCAAGAAGTCTTGGAGATAATTCATGAGCATGAATTTCCAAATTATTCTGAGAATGTTACACCTTGTCTCTACAGAAAGTGTTTACTCTACTAAGGGCTCATAAATAGCTTAATTATTATTTATAAATAATATTAGTTTATTCCATTCACTTTGCCATTAGAAGCACTTTTCCTGAAATTCAAACATTAAATTACTATCTCAGCTCTAAGAGAACATTTGAGAGAAAGCAAGCAATAACTTAACTAGAGAGAGAGCATAAAGTGAATTCTGGAGGGATGAGCAGAAAAGTAAAATAGAAAACTGGACAGTTTGTAGCTACTCCCAAATTAGGTCTTCCCAGGCCTTCAAATATTAGTATGTTCAAACACAGTAATACTTCAAAAAGTCCCAGAACATCAAACACAATCATATTCAAGTGGCGGTCCAAAACTTATTCCAAAGCCATAAGCAGGATATTTTTTTATTATGCAATTTGAAATTAGCCATGTACTGCCATTCCTCCAAACCCACTAAACACATTAACAGAATTAATTGATAATCTCAGTATTAAAAAATAAAGGTTGAAACAGATTTGTTATCCACCAGTATTAGAAGGTAATTGCTCTAGAAAAGAACAAAACAAAAGATGTTGCTAACAATAGAGAAGACAAATAGCAGTAACTATACATACTAACTAGAAATCCACAGTAGTCATGGGAAATATGTTTTCATCAAGAAAACCAGTGTCTAGATTCTAGTCTTACTGATATTCAATAAATAATTATCTAGGAAATTCATTTGGACATGGTCTCGAAGGACTTCTTCATTAACAGAGATAAATAATCTTTATTCCAGGGTTCTTGCCATAAATATGAGACAAATGCCAAATGGTTTAGTTATTTAAAATTATACTGAATCAACAAAGACAATCACCTAAACAATGAACTGCAAAATGATTCAATGCACACATTTTTCACATTTGAATATCTAGAGAGGCGAAAATATTTCTGTACTTTTCCTAGCATTTTATGCAAAAGTTACAAAGTCTCTCTCAAATAATATTTGGTAGCTAGCTTCATAATATCACTTCTGAATACTTCCCAGGGCGGTTTTATGCAGAAGCTAGCGTAACTTTTCTTTCAGTTAGTCACTTTCCAAGAAAAGAGGTAGGGTGCACCCTTCATGATGAAGGATAAACTTCAAGATTCTTAAAATCTCAATGATTTCTCAAAGCACAATGTAAAACCGACTTATACAAAAGTCTTTTTCAGTCCCTCTTCATTTCTTAGGTAGAGTATTGTTTTCTAACATTATGTAATTCTTGCCTCATAAGAGGTCTTACATTTCCCACAGATAACCAGTCATTAAGCCAATATGTTAAAAGGCTTTTCACCTGTATTGCATCAACTATGCTCTCATTTCTAATTATGGTGTCTAAGTGGTCAGTGACTTCAAACTACTTAGGAATTTTTCGGTGTTCCCACAGAGTGCCTAAAAGTGGTAGCAATGGGCATCTCATATCAAAGTTCAGAAGCACTAAGTATAAAATATATTAGTCACTCATTGGATGATTCAGCTAAATGACTGCTACTGATTAACAGGGAAAATGCAGATCTGTTGCCTGTACAACAGGTAAGCCTCACATACAAACCACTATATAACATTTATTTAGAAATGTTCACTTCCTTAAAAATAATTACATATAATGAAATGAAAATAAACACAAGATGGCAAATTGCCTACAATCGCTACACCACACAGTAGTGCAACACCTCAAATAATTTTATAACCTGATGAAAGTCATTGAATCTAAACTTCCTTACCTTTAATTTATTTTTATTACCTGCTTTACCAACCTGGGCACGGATTGGGGTTGGGAGAGGGACCCTTAGTGTTTTTTGACTCTTTCAGAAAATCTAAATACATCTGACCTTTGTATTTCAGTCAGTTATATGTTACATGGGCTAAACAATGGAGCAATTTATCATTAGCTAATATTTGATTATGCTTGTCACCAATTGGTTTGTTTCAGTTATTTGCATGTAATAAATCAGATGTACACACAATGCTGGGTTGAGTGACTTTCTCTAGCTGAATGGTCTACCAGGAGTAGTACACAGGAACCATGCTCCCTGAGTTCACCAAGACACTCCCTGGGAGCGGCTAAATTGACCATGCTGTTGTTGTAATACTGATCACAGTAAATGAGCTTTTCAAGGAGCCCTCTAGAGTAGAAAACCACATTCTGGAGTAAGCTTGTGAATCTTAAGGTCTCTACAGACCTAGCTAATTCTTAGTAGTCATCAAACACTCTCTTTTCGTTGACAATGAAACAGGCCCAGCAGGTCACTTGCACAAGGTCATGCAACTAGAAGCAGTTTACATGACTACTATTGTGCTGTTTCTCCCTTTACATCATACAGCCACGGTGCCTCTCACAGGCAAAAATTCAGTCATAGCTAGCAGGAGCTTATTGAGCACCAACTATGTTAAACTTGCTTATCGGCTTAGGATGGGAAGGCAAAGGGAAAAGCAATGAGTTCAGTGTGAGAAAACAGACCTCAAATACTGGCTCCAAAGTATCCCCCTCGTCATGGTTACAATCAACTTGCCTCTTCACAAACCCAAGGAAGAAGTGGCCAATGAAAATAGGAAAACCAAGAATACCTTGACACTGTTATACACTCAAGACATCTTGGCATATTTTGCAGGGTTTCAAAGTGACACCTGAAAAGCCCTCCCCTTATGGCAAATTAGTACAGTTATCCTTAGTTATTTATATCATTCTTCCTCATAAACACATAAAAACATTGAAGATATTTTTAACCAGAAAAACACCATTTATTCCATCACCCAAACACAATTCTTTTCATTTTAAAAAATTTCAATCTATTATTTGTCACCATGTAAGCATATTTTCAGAGATGTCCTCATAATGTACATATAATTGTGTATTCTGATTTTTCAATTTAACATTGCATAAGTATATGATTTCCATGAAATTCAGGTTTCATTTTTACTAGCCATATAATATTCCATAAAGCTAACATAAAGTCATTTCCTTCATCATCCTTAAATGTAGTAACATTTCAAATGGTCTCACTTATTTTAATACTACGTATATTATTTTTTCTTAGAATATTATCAAAAATAGGATTATCAAATCAAAAGGGAGAAATAGGTTTGTAATGGACTTCGTATTTATGGCTATATTGATTTCAAGAAATTCAAATTATCTACAAAGCCACCAGCAGTAGATGTGCATTCAACTTTCACCAAACTTCCTTAGCATTACATGTAATTAAAATCTTTTTCAGAGGCTTATTTCATGTAATATGATTCTTAAGGGTTGCATTTTTGTTTTAATGGTGACCATAATTATTCTCTCACTTAAAAATTATTTGATTGTCTTTCACCTCTAATGTAAAATTATCTACCCATATAATATGACTACCTTTAGGTCCCAGTTTTTCTTATGAACCTAAATGGCTTTTTATGTAATATATATATATATATATATATATATATTAATTTTCTGTATATTTTTTTCTGTAAATTTATTTTAACTATTTAATTTATCTGGCATATATTTAAATCCACAGCATAAGGTACGCATTCAAATAGCTCTGATGAATTAAGCTTGCTTTACAATGCAATGAATTATATTGCATTGTAGTATGTCCATTTCTTGGCTCACCATTTAGTTACATCGGTCCACATATTTAAAATGGAACTTTTGTTCAGACTGCCAGGATGATGTGACTGGCATTGCGTTACGTAGTTTTCATGTGCATTATCACATGAACTTAGTGTGTGTGTGTTAGTTTTAATTACTGTAGTTTCATAGCATGTTCAAATCCATGTAGAGCTAGATTCTACTCTTCATTTTTTTTTCAAATATTCATTGATATTTTCTTTTGTGCATGAGTATATGTGAGAAACTTTCATTCATTTTTTTCCAGGTTATATTGTTTAATTAAATGTACTGTTTGCCCTCCATATTCAGCCATACTCAGAATATTCCCATTAGCAGTCTGATTAAAATTGGGTTGAACCATATATAGAGAGTTAAAATGCCATATATGTAGAGATTCATAATAATGTGCTATTTTTAACAGGGGAAAACAAAATGTACATATGTGTGTGTGTGTGTGTGTGTGTGTGTGTATGCATGTTTTCAACATTTTTCCCATGTTAAAAAAATAGCATATTATTATGAATCTCTACATATAAGACATTTTAACTTTTATATTCAATAGATATTTATCTTCTGCAAGTCTCCTGGTTCTCTGTCTTTCCTCATTTCCACTCCACTTGCTTGGAAATACTTCCTTTCTTCATGTCCAGCAATTAAATTGTGTTAATTCCTCACAAGGTTCTCTGAATCACTTCCTTTACGTGCCAGAAATACTGATTAAATAGAAGCCAAGTATTTAAAATCCTATCTTAAATAAAATATCTTCATTTCCTTGCCCAAAATGAAATTAAAACTGCATGTAAACAATATCACCACCACAAAATAATATCCCAAGGAACCATTCTATTTCTATAGAAGATTTACATGACAAAGCCCTGAGTGTCTTTAAAACACAGCTGACACTCTGGGAGGCCAAGGCAGGTGGATCATGAGGTCAAGAGATGGAGACCATCCTGGCCAACATGGTGAAACCCCATCTCTACTAAAAATACAAAAATTAGCTAGGCATGGTGGCATGTGCCTGTAGTCCCAGCTACTCGGTAGGCTGAGGCAGGATAATCACTTGAACCCGGGAAGCGACAGAGAGAGACTCTTTCTCAAAGCGCGCGCACACACACACACACACACACACACACACACACAGCTGAATGGCTTTGGTCGGCTAGAGCCCTCCTCCTGCCCCTCCACCCACCATTGTCTCTTATTTCTGCTATCTGTGAAACAGGTTTGAATTCAAAGATAGAGAAAAAAATGCAGAAATACGAATCACTTAAAATTATAAATAAAATATGTTAAACTTAAGTTTGACTGAAAATAGTCTAAATTTTGTTGTGCACGTTAACTAAATCCACGTGTTATCTTCATTGATTTCACAAAACTTGGTACTCTCAAGGAATCTCATGGTTTACATAACTGACAATAGTAGATGAAGAATTCTAGAGACTGTACTGAAAGAGAAGAGAAGGACAAAGAGAAAAAATGGGAGGGAAAAAAGAAAGACCTGAATGTCTATGTGTAGATAGGCAAATGAGGCCTGAAACTGTTTTCCATCCATACTTTGAAAGTCATCACTATGTGTCAAGTTCGTCAAGTTGAGTGAAAGGAGTGATGTGCCTCTCCACTTTCCTGAAGAACCACGTAGAAAATGTGGCAAATATTTAATTTAAGCCTTGTTTCCTGAAAGATTACAAGATGCCCACAAATTTTCTTTCCCAGAGTTCAAAATAGCAAGCTGAGTGGGTGTAAGCACTTTAAGTGAAAAAAAAAAAAAAAAAAGTAACTAAGGAAAAGGAAATCATACTTTCTGCTTCTTAGTATAAGATTTTTTTTAAAAGGCCATTTAAAGAGATATTAGCGATATGGATCCGGCGGTTGTCTTGAATCAGAATACAAATACAAGTCCTGGTGACCTAAGACAGAACCCCCTGGCCACATTTAAACATGATTCATTCTATATAAAGATTAAACTGACAACATCATAGTTACAGTAAGAGAGAGCTGTTGTCAGCTACAACCAGATACCTAAATCACAACAGGAAAACACTTGCACAGAGAGAAAGCTGAATGTTTCTAGGGCCTCTGCCCTTTCCAAAGAGAAGGACCTTCCTAAGCAGTGCTTTATAATATTTTAACATGTAGATGAGTCACCAGGAGAGCTTGTTATAAATATAGGTTCTGATTCTGAAAGTCTACCCCAAAGTTCCCAGGTGATGAGTTCGCTGGTCTACACTGTGAGAAGCGAGATTGTAGTCTGTAACAATAGTTGCCTACTAGCCAAACACCAGAAATCACAATCAACCAATTAAGAACGCTTGCTAGGTACCTGTGCCAGTAGTTACAGTAGATAATAAAGTACATAACATGTGACCTGAGCTAACACAGAAAAGTATGTTTTAAAAAAATAAAAGCTAAATGCTAAAATGTGTGATAAAGACTCTCAGAATAATAGGAGTGGAGAACAGAAAGCCTTCTGTAGGGGATAGAGTGGTTGTAAATGGCTTCACAGAGCAAACGGGAAATGTGCAGCCCCAAGATGGGGTAAGGGGTAAATGTGGAGAAAGAAAGGGCAGGCCACCACTAAGGGCAATTCTAGAAGGGAGAGCCTAGAGTTCCCACAAGAGAAAGCTATGGTGCACCTGCTCTGTGGTTATAGATATTATCATTGGAAGCTTTTAATCAGAATTCACTTTTAACCAAGTGAAAGGAAACTCTGGCCTTGTTTAAAATTTGTCGGTTTGGAAATGATCATTCTATTCCAGGACAGGAAAGAATGGGTAGCTCTGCCTTAGTCTTATGCAAATTTTCTCCACTGGCAGCAGCAATAGTGTTATGAATGACATTTTAGGTTTGGGCCTGGGAGCACAAAATTATCATTTTTGTACATATATCTATGCATATGTATGCCTTTGGATAACATATGTTTTTAATGATTAAGACTTTTGAGAGCATTAGAATCATAACTTTGTACTACAATAGATTTAACAATCTTCTGTTACTTCGAGTACTTGAATTTTACTTTTATTATAAAAATAAACCCTTTTTTTCTCCCGTAACATACTTTGGGATGGCACATACCCACACAACACCCTCAACTCCAGCAATATTCTCCATTCTTCCCTTTCCTCCCACACTGGCTGACAATGGGAAGAAAACATATCCAGAAACAGAATGAAATTATTAATGAATTATACCTTAGTTTTTTTTTTTAATCTTAAAGAGTTTTTCCTGCCAACTCACAATATGTTGGGTATCGCACAATGGATTCAACAGAAAAGCAACCAAGGTTTCCAAAGGTCAATACAAACATAAGCTTTCAATCTCTAAACTTTATTTTTTAACTGAAGAGAATTACAGAGGGATGAGGGTACCTACAAGCTGCAAGAGGGAAGTACTTGGAAGAGAAACCTAATATTTTTGCACTCCTAAGTCAGGTCAGCAATCTTACTGAGTTCTAATTCCATCTTTTTGTCTTGGGAACTATCAAATTCGTCATCTTATTGTAAGCATTAAGAAATGGTATTTGGAAGACTTACAAATCTTAGGTTTCATATTAATGTTAAATGCCGTGACTATGGTTTAGCCACAGTTACTGTCCGAGGTATGTTCCTGTCTTACCAAACTTGACTATGCTTCCTGTTCTTAGCAAGGAAGTCAGAATTTAGGCAATGCATTATGGCAAAACTGCTATCTAACCCATCAAAGCTTGAGTGTTACAAGATACCTGTTCACTGTGATTGGGCTGAACAAGGTCCTAGTATTCAGGATGTATGAACAGAGTCGCCTTCCCTCCCACCAATCCAATGCACACACACATAAAACCCTCACTAATGACAAGAAAAAAATATGAACATAAGAATGCTAAGTTACTGTTACCTATGAATGGTTGCAAAAACAAGAAACAGAAGGCAGATAGGCACACCCTGTTGAGACCATGAAGTGTGTCTTCTTCAAATCTCTTCCCCTTTCTACCCCGACCCTGTTCAGGTGTCCTTGCCTAAGCAGGTCCTGGGGTCTTTGCAAGCTGCACTCTGCATCTACTGCAGAGAAGAGCTGATAAGATTTTTCATACTAGGTTGTCAAAAATGTAACATGTTCTCATGAAAAAATTTACATTATGAAAACAACAAAAACCAACAAAAATATTGGGACACCTTGAAACTTAATACAAACAAATAACTGTTGGTGAAGAGATATATGTGGGGGAGGGGTTTTGCAAGAATAGAAGCAAGATGTCCTCTGTGGGAAATATTATCAATCCTATTAAGTTACAGCGCAAGGTGTGTCGTAGACACTAGAAGCACATATGGCCGACTTTCAGTTCTCCAAGGTGATTTTTATTTGAATTGAAGTTGCTCTTCTGAAAACAATTAATCAACGATAAGTTCTCTCTCCCTCCCACTCTCTCTTCAGAGTGTGTGTCTATATACATGTCTTTTGACTAATTATAAGATATAGTCCCACTTTTTTCCTCCTTAGTATCTATCACTATGATCATCTGTGTTTATGTGCCACCTGCTTTTAGAATTACCCACGGCTATTACCAGAAGTTACAGAGTTAAATTTGCAACAGCACAGACTTCTAACTACAAGCCTGGGACCACGGTGGAAACAAACGTTCAGTTAAGGAAGATTTCCCAAGCGAGAATTGATGTCCTCACTAACTGGGCTGCCAGGCTTAGATCAAATGAAGGTCGATGCAATGTCCCCCGAGGAAGCTGTTCAACTCGCCTGGTTGGTTCCCCGGAGCCCTGCCAAGGAGGCTCTTCAGATTGACAGCACCCTGGCAGAGCTGCTGTCTTCCCCAGGCAGAGAGGCCCTCCCCCGGACAACAGGCTGGTGCAAAGCCATCTTCCACAGACACCAAAAGAGAGCACAGCAAAGCTAAGCTGCTGGGGACAGCCACTTGTGGCTGAGACAAAGGCAGGTTCCCCCTGCAGCGGGACAATCACTAGGACTGTCAGGCTGTCGAAATGTATATTGCAGACAGGACATCCCTCCTGGCATCCAGTGTGAGTGAAGCCCAGGCCACAGCAACAACAGCCTGGCCTGAGGACAGCCTGCACCACACATCAAAGCCAGAGGCCCTGGGAGGCTGGCCAGCCGCCAAAGACGCCTGAGAGCAGCAGGGGAGTGTGTTGCCTTAGGACAATAGCAAACTGGGACGTGGTAGAGTCTGTAAATTCCAAGCACTGGGGAGGTCTTCTCAGAGATTTTACCCTCTCCTGTCAGGGCTGTGATTTAATTTCCTTTGAAGAAAAAAAAAAAAAAAGAAAAGAATATACATTCCCAAACCTTCTGTCTGCAAAGGCAGACACCACAATGCAAGCTTAATGCACTCTGGTCCTTCCCAGCTGACGGCCACTGTCTAACACAATACAGCTAAGTGAGATGTGACATTCTCCTGGTCCCCTTATTAGGGCATTAAGTCTAAGGAGTAATTAAGATCATTTAAATGCAAACGTCA